ATTGAAATTTCTTGCGAGTTTGAATAAAACAGCTTTTAAAAAAAATTAGTACAACTGATATTTTTGTAATATTTTTCTAAATTGAATATTATTTTTCTATTATATATATTTCAAATTTCTCGGATCTGAAGAATGTTAGATTTGCTGTTTCATACTCTCAGAAAGAATTGGCGTGCGTCCGTGCACTCTGTTGCTGACATGGCACATCGAATCGAATTTGTCTCTATCCGTTACTATAATTGCCATATCCGTCGGGGGAAGATATATTTTTAAATTGAAATTAGTGGAACATATTTGTTTGTTCATTGTTTATTTAAATTTTGAATGAGAAATAGGTTAATTTTAAAAATAGATCGTTTTATTTTTATAAAGGACTATTTCCTATACGTATGGCTTCTTAGACCTTCGATGTGTTCCTGTAAAATCAAGCAAGGTCGAATGGAAAACAGCTTTTTCCTTGTTCTGTTTTCTGCTTTAAAGTTATTTTTTGTTTTTTAAAATTAGGAGGATCATTGACACTTCCTATTGATTCTAATGGACATCCCTGCAAAGAAATAAAGCATAGGGGAAAATGTACCATAGTTTAGTAAATGAACAACCAAAACTACTAGGTGTCACAACTTAAACAATAAAGAAAAAATTGTTTAAACAAAATCGTGAGTTCGGGGACAAGTGTAATCCTAACTCCAGTTTGAATATGACGTAGGTAAGAAATAAACAAAAACTTAATGGCGAACAAAATGACGAATTACTTGCATCTTTCATGATTGTTAATTCGTTGGGTCTCATGTGTCATGGTCTCAACCATTACGAAAAAACGTTAGTTACATTTTTGTCGGCTTTAATGGACAAATATGTTTCTAAACGTTTTTACTTTCTATGTCCATCAAGAAGGCCTTCACTAAAGAGCGAGTATAGGCGGACCAGGTGACCTTATCATCATCCATCTGTGCTACTATATTTACCATTGTTAAATGTACCTTCTTTCTTATTATATTGGTATTGTGGTATTCTTCTCTTGATCTGTCTGCTTTGACAAAGAAGTAATTTCAAGCGTTATTTGGAAAAATTCATGCCCATGGGCGTCATAATCTTAAAAAATGAGGCATTCTCGAGCACTGTGTAATCGCCTTTGTTCAGTTAAAGGGAAAAATCTTCAACTTCTTCACTTTAATACTAAAAATTTTCCATTGTTCTTGTCCTTCATTACTAAATGTAAATTAAAAAACCTGCTTTATGTAATTACACTTGCGAGGGACGAATATCTGTTGTAATAAATGAATTTAAAGGAAAAACAGACAAACGTTACCATCAAATGTTTCCTATTCTAGGCTCTTTGTGAGGCCATTCTGATAATTCTATTGTGGTTCCTTCTAAAAACACGATATCCCGAGATAAACACTTAAGTGGAAGATTAGCAAACGTACACGAAAAAAATCTTTTAAATATAAATTAAATTTGAGAGGAAAAAAGCTTTAAATATGTTTCTACCGGTATTTAAAAAAAATCATTTAAAATTAATCAATAATGAAATATAGAATTGTCTTTCATATTTCGGTTGTTTTGTTAACGTAGACTTTATTCAAGTACATAAGACCATTAATCGTTGTGTGGTATTTTTAAGAGATAAAACTGTTATGTTTGGTTACGCAGATTAGATTTAAAATGGAAAGGATTGACGGGCAATATAATACTCGGGGTGATACGGCACTAAAACTTTCAATATAATACCCGTCTTACATCACGTCTTTATAACATCTAAATATCAATTGAGCTAGACATTTGAATAAAGGATAAATATTCTTATGTCCTTATAAAGTTTGGGGCAAAAAATTTAAAGTTTAAACTTCACGTGAAAACTCAAATAGATGACAGTGACTGTTACGTTCAATTAAATAAGTTTTATAATTATAACATGGAATAAATTATAAAATATCCGTTTTGATGTAGTAAGTCGCTAGGGAAGTCGAGCCTATGTTTTATTGTGATGAAGGCTTTTCGGATTTGTCTGAGTTGTGGAGGATTTGTATATTGAAAATGAATTTAACTAGCACATAATTTCTCCAAAAACATCTGTGTGCGTTTCAACAGATTATATTTTCTTTTAAAGTCTGTTTTTATCAATATAATTGAAATTGCATTGAGTATTGAACAAGAAAACATTATATGATTTATTTACAGACATAATTACGAAATCTTTAACCGCTTTACTAATGATTACTGCATAATTAATACTAAAACAATCTTTAGATACAATTATTTATTATTTCACAATTCTTAAAGTTTAATGCACGCCTTGATGTTACAGCCCTTGCAATTTTTTCAAACATCTTGTGTACTGTGATTTTAATTTATACATTTATTTTAAATGTGTATTGTCATCATTGTCACGTGTCGAAAATCTGTTGTTAAAAAATGATATCACAAAGTTTTTAGGCTGGGTACTCAAATATTTTTGCATAAACATTTTCACCTTTTTGGAGAATGTGATGGGTTGGGTTAGGTTAGGACTGGTTAGTTAGTAGGATTAGGGTTTCTGAGGGGTTGGTTAAGTTAGGTAGGGCTAGATTTTGGGTTAGGCATGATTTAAGTTACTCGTACATGACTCAATGTTTTTCCGTAAAGTGGAGAAATATAGTGAATCTAGAAATATAGTGTGAAGCGCGAGCTTTTAACGTGACTTTATTTTAAATTTAAAAACTATTTGCTCCTTTTATCTTCCAGTAACTCTTTCTGGCAGCAATTTGAATTTCTGCCGGCGAACATAAGTTTCATTGGTGCAATTAGCATTTTACTTTTGTACCATCTTGGTCGCCTTTGACGGTTTTGGATATTTTTTGAAGCTGGTGGCTGCGATCGGAATTGTCTTTTTTACTTATCGACCAACCTTTACTATTTGGCTGTAGCATTACCATTATGAAGTTGAGCTAAACTACTTCTGAAGCACTAATTTCAAACGAAACTTAATACTTATTTTTGGTTTCTTTACAAGTTTAATCGTATTAAATTTAGCGTCACGAACACCAGATTGATTGATCATAATTTACATATGCAGATTCGTTAAGCTTTTCTAAAGTTCTTTTTACTATGACCTCTTATCAAACGGTAAAAACACAAACACTTTCACGTCTGATGTAATGCATTGAAAAAATGTATATCTTGGTGATTTCTTAAAACTCTTTCCTAATTCTGTTTTAGGAGAGAAAACACGAAAGTGTTACAGCAAAAGTTTTTGTAAATATTCAGTTCTTATCACATATTTAATGTATTGGTCTTCATTAAGGGCAGACAATTTATATCAAATACGTTTATTTGTTTTATGAATGTAGCAGGGATTACATTAGTAATTATTGTGCTTATAACACACCGTTCATCAAAAACTTGATTAGTTCTTTTGTGCTTAAATACATTGTTTCGTAGAAAACGTATATCGTCCCAAAACGCTTCCTCCTGTGGGCAATGTAGCATTACAGTTTGTTAGTAAGTGTATTGGTTTCCTTTGCTTCTTTGCAGAATCTACACTTGCCATGTTGGCTTATGCCTATCGTCTTTAGATGTCCATTGAGTTTGCAGGTCCTATTTAGAATCCTGTTAGGATTCGTAGTTTCGTCCTGCTTTCTTTAATGCATTCTGTTACCTCTTTCCTTCCAAAGTTCGTTAAGAGGTTCTTGGATTGTTTGTGCCCAATGAGTTGTTCCATTGTTCCCTCATTTTATTTTCGCCCTACTGTTTGAGGTGTTCATTGATACTGTGTCTTCTTATGGCACAGAAGGGCGCGGGTCATACTGCGGCACAGCAGACCCTCTTCTTGTAAGGGCATCCACTTTCTCGTGGCGTTCTACACCCACATGTCCTGGGACCCAGCAGAGGCTGCCTTTGCGTACGTAATTGTTTTGTTTAGTTTAGTTTTGCAATTCAACACCATCTTGGAGCTAACGATGTTTGAACTTAGCGTTTTGATGGCTGCTTAGCAATATGACCTGAAAGCTATTGTGATTATACCTTTATTCACATTGACTTGGGTACATCTCTCGATTGCGTGGACCTTAGCTTGGACTGGAGTATTGTCCCAAGGGTACGGATTATTTGGTTCCAGGACGAACACTCCTGCTCCCATAACTTCTTGCGTTCTAGATACGTCTGTGAGTGTCTGAGAGTGCCATTCTTAAAGTAATAGTTTTCAATCTCAATCTCATCGTTTTCTTTGATTAATTTGAATATACATAGTTAGGTGTTTAATGAATTCATCCTGGAGAAGGTTGATCTCCAAAAAGGTCTGATGAGGGAGCTGGCTCTTGATCCCGAAATACATAGCCAGAAATAAATGAATTGCTTCAATTAAATACGTTACTAAATTTTTTTTTTTTAATTTTAAGTATTAGCCTGATGTTTTGACCTACTCGTCAACCCAAATTAACATTAAATCCTCCATGTTGAATGCTTTTAAGTCTTTAGTGTAAAAATATGTTTTTTGTAACTGACATTGCACTATTTGTTATGCGTTGAATCAACATCTTAACTCTCGCCTATTTCAATGAGAACTTATTTAAAGCAGCGTTTTGAGTAGAAATTTATTCAAGTGGGTTGGAAATTTGCTTTTATCTCAAAGCGATGTTAGCAAAAGCCCTAAATTAGATCTTTCTGATGCTATCCCTTGCGATATTTCACATGCATGGCTGCATTCCAGATTTTCGATTCTTCCTGAGGGAATTACGAATTTTCCTTCTCGTAGTCGCAAATCTTGTCAGAAAGGCACGGGGGACGGTTCTCCGTATATTTACGTCTGAAGGAAATGCAGTTCTCTTCTGGAGTTCGGCCCTCCTTAATTAATTGTCGTTTAGCCTTTCTCGAGTGGTTAACACGAGTTTATTTCAAAGTAAAAACGATAAATCCATGTTGATTTACAGGGCCGTATTGTCGACCCCGTTTTGCAATTTCGTATTATATTTAGATTCGATTTGAGGGTATATACTAGCAGTGTTTGTGTCGTCTTGTTGCAGGTCGCTCGCCATGCTGTGTCTCAAGAAGGTCTATTCGGACGACCTCCTTCAGCTCGCCATCCTCCTAAGCCTCCTGAGGGCCGACAACAGGTTCAGCCTCATCGAAGCGCCGGCCGTCGGTGTCGGGAGTTCTTACGACTCCTGGGACATCGGGCGGTCGATGATCACCAGCGAGACGAGAATCCATCCGAAAGCCGTGGACAGCATAATGCTGAGGGAACAAGAGTTGCTCAACGAATTGAATTCTCTCGGCCGCTACGGATCCCTCTGGCAGGATGTCACCGCCTACATGGGCCTCACCAACATCGACCCCATCGCTTCTACCTCCTCCAGCCCCGAGCAGACTCGCGACTTCTTGGACATCAAAGAAGAACCCGACGACGACAACCTGACCCAAGAGGTAAGACGACAAATTTTTTTCTTAGACATTTTTATCACATTCCTCGGTACATTTATAAAATTTTAGGTAACTAGGTAATACAGTAGTGAACCCGACCAAACAGGTTATTTCGTCATTTGGATTAGTTTTTTCTTAATTTTTAATATCTATTAATATCGAGAGGCTGAAATATTGATAATGTGCCGATTGTTTTTCATTCAAGGGCGCTTCTTTTTTAAAATCAGCCGAGATATGTCTGACTGACTCGAATAAAGTCAGGAGGAAAACTTTTGTTTTTAATCTTGTCGAATGATCGAAACTAAAGAATATTAACATAAAAATATCATTGCTAATATAAAAAAAATCTATATATTACTTCACCTATACATACATTTATGAAATATGCAACATAGTCATGGGGGGGGGGTAAATTTCTTTTAAGCCTGATCGTCGTTTAATCGTTACGACCACCTTGTTTGCATTGAATTTAAATTTATTCAAATGGAAAGAACCTTTATTAATTGTTAATTAGCAGGGAAGGTTTGTGTCCTGTTGTATTAAAAAAAAACAACTGTCTTTAAAATTCTAAGTGTCTAAACGGTAAGATTTGTTCAAAAGAAAAGATCATGAAAGATAAAAGACAAAAGATCTACAGAATCCGACAATAATGAATAGCAGCGCCAACAAATATTAAAAATAAAAATGATGCGTAATATAGTTTTATGGTATGTTTATTTTTCTAATTCTGTTATAATGTCCAGCACCAATTTACATTCAATTTTCATTTTACAACTGTTATCAATTTTAAAAGTTGAATAATCAACTTCAAATCCAAATCGTTGACAACAAACCTCAAATCAGTGCTTTAATCATCTTTTTTTAAAATGTAATCACTCAAACCATTACATTATTTACTGTGACACAAGCTTGTTTTTAAATCTTTATCTCTTTCATATCATTAGTCTGAAATTACGGATTATTATAAAGAATTAAAATCAGAAATATTAAAATTAAATTAGGCATTGGAGGAGGGCTATTTAATTACATATTGCCGTATCTTGCCTTGTGATAGCTGTCATCAATTAATTACATGGGGATTTTGATTAAATAATAACGTTCCAATAATTAATTGTTGACAAATATGTGAATTTTCGTTCCAAAAATATTCACCCCACCCTAAAAAGTATACAATTATAATTCTATGATTGCTTTACGAACTGGATAGATATAATTCTGTATATGGGAACGGTAACACTAAATTGATTGAAGTGCGAATGCCCAGATTTAACGTAACGCTATCTAAAATAGAGATTTACGTTATTTGTCTTAGAATAGCGTCCTTATTAATAGGTTACGGTAAAGTTAACAAAGTAATTTTTGCTGGATATATTGTCCAATTTGGGAAAAAAAATAAAAAACCGTACTATTTACCTATAGAGAGAGAAATATAAGTCTTGCACTTTTGCAATTCATGTCGAGACGTGGTTTTAAAAATCCTTCAACCTGATGATGAGCTAAGGGCTGGAAATCCGGATCCTTGGAAAACAACTTACTGTGAGTAGGAACTATCTTTTTTAAAAAAGGATTAAACACCGCACTCACTCCATCATTCATCATTTCTATGCATGTATATTTGGTGTTCCAATATAGAAATATTTAACTGTTTTATTTACATTCAAGTAGGAATGACAGCTGGAAATACATCAACTTTATATATATCAATTAATTAAGGTTTTTTAGTTGAGAGAAAAAAGTCAATGGCACGAGCGGGATTCGAACCCACGATCTTCTGCTAGATACGCCGCTGCTGTACCACTTGAGCTATCGTGACCTCGATCCACTCGGACACCAACTTCCCATCTCAACCGAACCTTTTGAATTTTCCCTCCTTTCTGCCATTTTTCAAATGTGTAATCGGATTGGGTTCTCGGCGACAAATGAAATGGCCACGGAGAGCTTTAATGAAGTGTACTTCATTTAAATTCATTAAATTCACTAATCCCACTTGTGACACTGACTTTTTTATCTCAATTAAAAACCTTGATTAATTGTAATATATCAATTGGTCAAGCGGACCACGAAATTAGTGAAGTTAAATATAACAGCGACCTTGAAATAGCGGAAACATTATGCAAAATCTCGTGTCATCTACTTTAAGGTGTACGTGATCGTTAGATTTTATTATTTTATCAGATTTAAAAACTAAAAAATTACGGATTTGTCTCAAATGTTGCAACTGTTGAAATTTTATCATAGGAAAATATTTTAATACGTTTATTTAAAAGATTTTTCGGCTTTCGTTTGTTCTGTTCGGAAATGTCCGTGAACTGGCAAAACAACAATACCATGAGATAATGAACTACAGAGATAATTGTTAATGTGACCTCTGTCAATGTTGGGTAATCGGTAAATTGTTTTTGCCCTCAAGATATTAAGCTAGAAATATTGTATGCTATTATTAATAATACCGAAATATTAAAGGCACTTTTCTCAAATTACCAAATATAATTTTACTCCTAAGTTATCATTTAATGTTAGATTTTTGTATATACGCTTAGAAGGCTTGTAGATACTGTAATACAACTGTTCTTCTTTATTTACATTTGGAACAAAGGTTATTTTTGTTAATATAAAACCTTATTCTATTTTTTGAAAGGACGAAATTTATTGACACGTTCCCGACGGAGTTGTTAAAAGCTTTGTTTTATTGGGCTTTACAAATTCAAATCCCGATCCAGTTTTGTTGACATCGCCACACACGGGTGTCGTACCTTGTGGCAATAACCCGAAATAGTTTTACGCACGTCCACGACTGCCACTTGCCAAGAATCTCGAGGATATATCTGTGTTTACCTTCTTTGTCATATGTCGTAAGAAATTCTAATAAACGGAGATTTTCCCTTTCTGAATGATTTACAGGGTTGTGTTGTGCGTTTCCAACTAAAACCGACGAACGACAAGATATCATATTTTATAGGATACAAATAGTCGGGTATTATCAATGTCTTGACATCCATAGAAGATAAAATAGAAACCATGCTAATTTTCACTAATACAACTACATCTAAGCTCTTCATAAATATTCTCACCGGGCGATAAATGATTGTTTTCATATTCGCCCGATTTGTACAGCTTCTAATGAGTAAAAAAGTTTAAATTCGGGTGCGTTACATTTTTTTAAAACTGATTTTCAGTAAGGTTCTTAATGTGGTTTTACAAGTTTATTGAGATACGTTCAACTAACTCTCACACTGAAGTCACCCAAACGGAACGCTAACTTTTCTAATTAAAATTAAGTGATTAACGGTTATAACGGCCGAAATTGGGAAGTATGAGAGGAAGGAGAAGAAAATGATTTGCTTTTATTCCATTCCTCATTCGGACTAACTTATTCCCTCGAAAAATGTTTTGTTTAAACTAAATTGTAAAATGCATCTTTATTGTTATTTTAGCTTTTAATGTCATTCCTCGTAACACATCTTGTGATTTTTTGAATAGTTCTATTAAAGCCATATTAATTAAATTTGCGTATGGCGAAAGTCAGACCCAGATTTGCAAACAACCTCTGTTGTTCACTTCAACTGCGCCATTTTTCGATGCGCAATAAAACATCAAAACAACAATACTTTTTCTCAAAAGAAGATATCAATTTATTAAGTATTGCGTAATAAGTAGTACTTCCAATTTTGCAATAGGTTATTTATAAAATTAGGAATATTTCAATACTAGGAGAAAAAACTAAGAAATCAACTCGAGAATATCAGGTTTTTCTGGCTGAATATCAAAACCTTTTTGACGACTTATGATCCGACGGAAAACGCGTTGGAAGAAAATGAAAAGTGGCGTGTAAAACGGCCAGATAATGAAGAGGTTTTTGCGACGACCTTCTAGCTAGAAGCAATGGAATTGGAGATGAGTAATGTTTTTAACATTGAGGTAGGGCAACGATCCTCGTCTTCCCAATGATCCTCTATTTTGAATTGATGCCCTTTTCCGAAGGTGGGAAGAATAACCCAGGTCGCCCCAAACACCAGGACCCACTAATAAATCACGCATTTTTCAGTATTACGTTTTATATTGTACTCGCTTTGTTTCGTCGCAGAATTTATTATCACGCTAATTATTTTTACATTAGACGCTTCTTACAAAAAAGACGACAAAGTTTTACGTTTTTTTTTGTTGACAAAAACGACAAACATGAAGCATATTGAAAGTATATGATATCAGCCCTCAGTATAATTTTATATCAAAAAACGATCAGTGCGGCCAGTTAGAAAGAAAACACTTGTGCTTTCGTTGGAGTACCCTTCCTTTATCAGGGTTTAGAAACTTGCGTTGGTCAGATCTAGTCGATATTCGATTTCATTGTACTTGAAATCGATGGTTTCAAAATTGTGAATATATTATTATGTTTGTTACTAATTAAGTTAAGTTTTCAAGTCCTGATGAAGTAGGCTTACTCCTCGAAAGCCCGATCAAGGGATGATCTGAGTGTTGTTGTTTTTTAATTAGCTTCATCCCTCATCATTTCTTTAGTATATAAGAAAGCTAACACAATAATACGGTCCAATTTACAAACAAACAACATAATTTAAAAAAAATATATATAGTGGACTCCGCATGAAATCTAGCTGAAAATGGGGCAGAGCCGATCTGGGTCGTTGCTGGTAAATTGTTGTTAAAACAAAAACTGATTGTTTAAAAAGTTCAACATGCTTACATAACATGAAAGAAACACAAAACCAAAAAGAAGATGGAAAAAAGGATAACAACTAGTAAAAAAAAGTTGTCTAAGTACGAGTTAACGATAACCTGAACTACAAAGTTTCTTGACTTTTTCATGCAACAATGAAGGTCGCACACAGTAAAATTGGAATTGATATGCGCATTGTCATTCGCCTTGTGCGGTTTCAGATTTAACCTTATATGTCATTGTTTTGTAACCTCGTTGACGAAACCTGGTAGTTATTTTAAAGTCCACAACCGGGTATCGACTCTATTTAAATATGATAAGCGTTTAT